GCCGCTGCCCTTGTACGGTCGCCTCCCAAGCGAACTAAGCCGCGTACCAAGCCTGGAAAGGAAGTGCCTATCAAAGCCTTGATCGAACAAGCCAGAGCCAACACACTGGGTTACGATCCCCACTCCAAGGGTTGAATATGGTATTGGCCTTGCCCGAAGTTGACGAATCCGTTGCCCTCCGGATACTTGAGGAGCAACAAGGAGCCTTGTGCTGCGCAATTATTAGCCACGACAATCCACAGGCCGAGGAAGTCCTCCCTACACCTGCCGTAGATACAACGCATGCTCGCGACAATCTACAGGCCGAGGAAGTCCTCCCTACACCTGCCGTAGATACAACGCATGCTACGGATGATGAAGACTCCCCATGGCCTACGGCTAAGCTAGAGTTCACCCTTTTCGACGCGTGGACGCAGTCATCCGAGTCCCAGGACCTCCCACAGGAGATACGTGAAGTGCTGCAGACACATAGAGAGGTTTTCCCTCACAGCCTGCCACCAGGCTTATCACCCAAGCACCCTCACGATCACCACATCCTTTTAGTCCCTGGCAAGCTCGCAGCTAAATTGGCTACATACTGTATGACTCCTGATCAGCGTCGATTTCACAAGCAGGAAATCGCCAAGCTGTCAGCACATGGTTGGATTGGACCTACGTATTCCCCTATCTGCGCGCCTACGATCATGGTCGATAAGGGGGATGATGGTACAGGCGAGCGCAACATGCGCATGGTGGTTAACTACCAAGCCCTAAATGCGCTTACGGTCGCACCTGACTTTCCGTTACCTCCGATCCAAACGATCTTGAAGATGCTGGGCGGCGCGAAATATTTTTCCACTCTCGACTTAGAGGCAGGCTTCCACCAGATCCGCATGGCCAAGGCGGATCGCTGTAAGACAGCGTTCCGTTCCGTCTTGGGCCCGTTCGAATACAAAGTCATGCCGTTCGGCCTGAAGGGTGCGCCCGCTACCTTTCAAGCCAACATAAAAGCCTACTTGAAGCCCTGCTAGGCCATGGCGTTATTGCATACCTTGATGATGTTCTCATCTATTCCGTTGATCTTCCTTCTAACGTTCATCTCCTACGCAAGGTGTTGAGCATCTTTCTTACAAATCAATTTTACCCGAAATTTCGCAAGTGACAGTTCGCGAGCCAGGAACTTACGTATTTGGGATATACCATCGGCGCAGAAGGGATAAAACCTGCAGCAGATAAGATTGAAGCAATCCGTCTGTGGCCAGAGGTGCTGGAGAACGAGACGCAAGTACGGCAGTTCCTTGGTACTGTTAATTACTGCCGTATGTTCATGGGTCCCGATTATGCTGACATTTCCCGCCCCCTTGTTACCCTGACTCGCAAAGCCACCCCTGTTCACTGGACAGCCGCACACACCCAGGCGGTTCGCCACCTCAAACAACGTCTCATCGATAATACCACCCTCCAGGTCCCAGACACCTCTAAGCCTTTTGAGCTCTACACCGATGCCTCCGGCTACGCCCTTGGCGGAGTACTCGAACAGGCTGGGCTGCCAATTGGGTTCCTCAGTCAGGCCATGACCCCCGTTCAACAGAAATATTCGATCTACGATCAAGAAATGTTGGCACTAGTTACAGCCCTAGACAAGTGGTCTCACCTACTCCGCGTCGGTAAGGTTACAGCATTCACCGACCATCAAGCTCTTACCCACTTACGTAAGCTCCAGACGTCCAAGCCCTTGCGGGGACGCACCGCCCGGTGGTTAGATTTCCTCGCAGAGTTTTCTGATATCGCTATCACCTATCTACAGGGTGCGCGTAATACGGGGGCCGACGCGTTGTCGCGTCTTCCTTCCTTGGGTCCGCTTATGTTAGCCCCTGCACACCCAGATCCAGCTCGTTACTCCCGGAGGAAGCAGGCCAACTACCGGGAGTTGGCTAGCACTCGCCGTCGCCCGCCTCGGACTCGCCCGCAGTCTCCTCCCGTTTCGCTCAAGGCCAACGAGTCCGCTCCTTCCGGCACCGAGCCATCCGCCGTCCTCCCAGTGAACCCCGCCGATTCCGCAACCCTGGATTGGCCGGCAGCTTATGCGAAGTGTCCCGTTTTTTGGGTCCCCTACAACACGGCGGTTCAGGCAGTCGGTGCAACCGTCCAGGTGGAGTTCCGCAATCGCCCCCTAGCCTTCAGATTTGTCACCCCTTTCCTCAGCGTTTGCATACACGGCCTAAGGCGTATATGTGTTCCGCGGTTTCCTGAGTTCCTTACACACATTCTATATAACCACGATCACGTAACAGCAGGGCATCGGGGTCAGAAGAA